TTTATTATCGAAGGGTGGGCACGAATAAATGAGATGCCCACCACCTATATGTTGCCCTGTAGTTATTGTGAGAATGAAGTTTAGCTATTAAATATTTTATACTCGTTCAGAAGGATAAGAGTATAAATGTATTTAGTAACGTTACGGAATGTAATCAATCGATCATTGAATATGAGCGTGCAGGTTGATAAGGTATGAGAGTTCCCTAGGGTGATTTCCCATGCAGAGTATATATAGTACACAAGTGTGAAGAATTAGTCATTCGACGGTATCTCGCATAGCATACCGATACTCTGAGAGCAAATTTCAAGTTTTATATTTTCAAGTAAGAAGTTTATAATTGGGGTATAAAAACTTCCGCAGTCCATATTCTACCTGGCTGTACACCACATGGCATGAATAGTAATGCCTTTCTAATTTGACCATATGCACTGCTTTGTAAATGATATCATATATCTGTATTGCTCTATGAGACATGCACGAATAAATGAGATGCCCACCACCTATATGTTGTCCTGTGGTTATTGTGAGAATGAAGTTTAGCTATTAAATATTTTATACTCGTTCAGAAGGATAAGAGTATAATGCACATTGTCTATATTGCTAGATGCAAGTAAGAGATGCATTATTCAAGCATTGTTAAGATGGATTGTTAAAAATAGTAAAGTTGTCCTTCAGTGGATTGTTAAACTTTGATGTTTGGTGGTAAAGGGTGTTAAGGTGTGAAGCGTCAGTCAGTCGTTACTCTATCGTCTAGGATAAAAGGATACAATAATCCAAATCAGCTGTATTTCACAGTGGATTTGCCTTTTTTTGGAACAGCACTTTCGGAAATTTATCACTCAAAGTGTATCTAACCACTGCTATTGCACCTTATCATACCGCAAACAACTGCTTATCACAAAACTCTCTTTACATTCAAACCTTTTTCAGCAATGGGAGCTAACCATTATGTGCAATACTTTGTGTTCTTAATTCACTGAGTCTTGTTATGCATCAAGTTATATAAGCTATATCTCCACTCTTTAGCTGTTATTTAGGACACCGACCGCGACGAAAGAAACGGGTCAAAAAGTTATTATCGTAATAATAAAAAATCGGTCTATGTATATTTGATAAATTAAATCCGATTAAATCCGACTTACTAAATATGAATTTGAATCCCTTGATGATCATTTGGTAAAATATTATTACGATCTGACTARCTTAAATAACTTTTTTGACCCGTTTTTTTTYCGTCGCGGTCGGTGTTCTAAACAACTGTATCCAGAGACCTTAAATGCATTTTGAAAGTTCAGAAACATATTGTAGTAAATCACTTACTTTGGTGGACCACTGTCGCTAACATTCACTGACTGGAAACATATGACCTTTTGTTGTCCATGCTGCAAAAATAGCAACAAATCCTTCAGACTCTTAGAATTCAAWAACTGCAAAGTCATTTGCAAAGGAAGTACATGAACGTGGAAATCCCTTGATAACTCACATACAGCTCTAGACAAATATGCTGACAACTAAAACCAGCCATTACCTATGCATGACTTTTTTTCTTTCTCCATTATCATTGGTTTTATTCCAGTTTGTCAAAGACTCTATTCTGAAGGTTAAAAGCTTGCCTAGTAAAAACTTGAAAACAGAGAGAACTCATGATTTTAAAAGCCTGGCTAATCCTGCGTAGATAGAGCCAAAGTTTCAACATTTTCAGAAATTCCCAATTGTCATGCATTTTCACATATGGGTAGATTATTCGTGGAGGTAAACATTTTATTTTCATGTATTCTTAAGCTGACTTTTAGTAAACATTCTTTAAAGAAGGAAAGTTACAGTTGTATGACTTTTCACTTCAATATTTCGTTCCTACAATCGTTGCCAAAATACCTTGGACCGTACAATTATTTGTCTCCAGCCTAACATTTTTCTTCTTTATTTTTTCACAGTTTTCCCCCTTAGCCCCCTTTCATCAATGTTGGGTCTTGTTTTGGATGCTTGTGTACTATGGTAACATGATCAATGACAACATTGCATTTAGGGGGTCAGGGGGGATGAAATTGTCTGCGGGTGTTGCTTAAAATGAGGAAATTGTCAACAATTGCAGTTTTTTAAAAAGCAAAAAGAGATAGACAAGAACAAAAAACAATCCGTGACTTTCTATGTTTGGCAGTTTGTCAAGAAAAAAAGTTTGATCGCAGAATCTGGCTGAGTTCAACAAAAAATTTAAATCGTTTGTGCTTGTGTGCTTGAGAATGCTGAATTGCCGAAACGTCCATTAATACAGATTTATAAAGCTTAAAGATTTCTGTTTTGTATGCTATTATAATTATATATAAAGTGGATCTGTTCGCAGAGTAGTCTCCTCTCGCAGCCGTTAGGACGTTCGTTCCCAGGTCACAACAGGAGTGACCTGGGAACGCAGAGTAACAAAATAGAAAAAGCCGGCGTTCTATATAACTAAATTATATCAAGATTAAATTACTGACTCGCTTCCTTCGGTCTTTTTCTTAGTTACAGTATATATTTATAACACTGAGAAATTCATAATAATCTCGCAAACGGAGAGGTGTTCACTAAACAAAAGAAACAAACTGTTATCTACATGCAGRCATAGAATAAAAGCGGTTTATGTAGGAAATATTTAGAATATTCACTCAAATTTACTGGTTTTGCTACAAACATTTATCATAGCAAGCAAAAATTAGTTGGAAGTCGAAAAAAAAGTGATATATTTTCTTTCTTGTAAGAAGTGTAGATTACAATGTTGGATTAGCTATTGGAATTTATTGTTTAGGAGCAACAATTCATCGTATGTTGAGTAAGAATAAGACGTGAAGTTGCAAGAACAAGAACAAGTTGTCAAGAACACTTTAATTTGAATTTCGCACGCGTATTTGGCTGGTTGTGAGCACGCTTTTTCAGGGCGCACATTTTTTAGGTTTCCGTTAGATTTCCCTAGTTTTTGTTGTTGTTGTTGTTGGTTGCCTAGTTGTTGGAATTTATAGAGAGTGGTGCATGCATATCACTCATTTCGCTGCCGAAACGCCTGAAAAAATCAGAAATAAAAAAAGCTGCAAGTTATTGCAGCTTTGTCTTAAATCATTCTACTTATAATATATTATACAATCACGTAATATATGATATACAGGTGTTTGCAATAATTCTGACCCCTCTGCTATATTTCGAATATATCAAACCGACCTTTAATATTATGGGATATCATGACTGACATTTTTTTAAGTTGTCCAGAATGAGTACAGTTTCTAAAAAAATATCAGCGATGKTATCCCATAATTTCTAAGGCCACTTTGATATAGTTATATGAATATTAGCTAAGTGTAGGGGGYCAGAATTATTGCAAATAGCTCTATAATACAAATCCTTTGTATTTAGCCTTATAAAACAGGGACTGCGGCGCAGTCAATTATGTGTGGGGCCGGTGAGCGACGAAGGCGTGATTTCTGTAGGAGGGCCGGGGGCATGCATTATGMCCCCCCRGAAAATGTTATAGTTTTAATCCTAAGAGCATTGAGAAGATATATGATGCATTATTTTTATGGAAATTTTGCGTAACTAAACAATAAAAAACTAAGGCATTTTTTGTATCAAATATTACAACACTCTTCACGGTGGTTGTGATTTCTTTTGTGTTTTCCTCATTAATTATTCATGAGTTTTACAAAATTCATTTACARCATTCACGTCCCTGTTGTATGGGCTTTACAATCTCTTGCCTTCCGCTCAARATTGTAAAATCCCATACAACATGGCTGCTCATGTTGTAAACATTACATACAGATCGCCCGCTCATATTTATTTTATACACTTAAACATTAAAACAAATATTAAATGTTGTATTACTTAAACAAAGGGAGTGTATATATCCAATATTATATATTAGGGAGCAGTCTTTTTGTGTTTTGCAGTATTATATGAAATCATATATTGAGCGAAAAGCTTAGAATAGGATACATTGATTTGTAATGTTTACAACATGAGTGGCCGTGTTGTATGGGATTTTACAATCTCGAGCCAAAGGCGAGAGATTGTAAAGCCCATACAACATGGACGCGAATGTTGTAAATTACTTGTGAAACGTTTAGGTGTATACATTCATAATCTACTAAAAACTTGAAGATAAAATTGAATTTGGCTGAGAAAATTAGATTTGAAGTTTATGCAAATCAAGACAGTTTTGTATCAAATATTACAACACTCTTCACGGTTGTGATTTCTATTGTRATTTCCTCATTAATTATTCATGAGTTTTGCAAATTGCTATACAGACCTGTTTTGTATGTACACACACTCACCAGACAATTTACAATGAATGACCTAGCATGCTGGGTAATATAAAAGAGTATTGTTGCTACAATCATGGACATAAATGTTGACAATTTTTACGCAMGCACGAAATTTCTAACATTCTTCATCTATAAAACCTTACTCTTGCCCCCCCCCCCTACCCCCAATACAATGTTGTGTGGCTTTCTTTTCATTGGTTGTCCATTCATTAACCCCTGCATGCAACATTGATGCGGGAGGGGAGGGAGGGAAKGGGAATATTTTCAGTTTATGCACACGATACAGTATTTGTAATGACCAAGTGAAAAATTGTCAAGTATTTATGTCCAAGATTGTAGGTACATTTATTGGGTTACATAGRCGTTAAAAGGGTGTTTCTGCAGGACATGGGCTTGCGAGTTTGTTTCGTTTGTTTACAAGTCAAGATAGATGTTCCCTACAAATAATTACAAACTTTTTGTAAGGTATCCCAAGCTAAGTGTTCATGTTTTTTTTAGCATTTTTGTTAGAAATATATAAATTTCAATAAAAATATAATAAAAATATAATAAATGTCTCTCTGTGTTGTGTTTTTTTTTTCATTTCTAAGTTCAGGTCATTGGCATCAATATTCCTAAGAAGAGGAGAAGATAACTCAATCTCACCATCCTAGTTGCCACAACAAATTCCCTTTAGTTTSCACAAAATTGCCAATTTTCAAGAATTCCTTCAGATTGCCTTTGGCAGATARTCACTACTTCTACAAACCAAATCTTAAATCTTTGACATGAAAATCCTTTCAATTGTTTCTCTAAGATATCACTGGGGAAGCACAGTCATAAATTACTCAAAAATATGAATTAAATGGYCTGAAACGTCACAGAAATGTAAAGAAAAACACAACTCACAGGTTGATNCGATTATATGCTTTACGACTTTTAAAACGTGCAAATGTACCACCAGAGCATATCCTTAAAGTCTATATATCCAATGTTAGATCAATTTTGGAGTACGCAGCACCTGTATGGCAAGACATATCCCAGCAACTCTCTGATGCCCTTGAGTCCATCCAGAAAAGAGCACTGAAGATCATATACCCTGGTAGCACCTATACGCAGGCTTTGAGCCAAACGAACATTCCAACTTTGCATAGGCATAGAGATAAATTATGTCAGAAGCTGACCACTGAGATGAGAAACGATCCTAGTCACCGTATTTTTTTTTTCTTCTACCCAAGCCAACAATAAAAACAATTAACTATAAACTTAGATCAACTGGAAATTTAAAAGAAACTATTGAAACTAAAAGAACCAAAAGAACCTCGGACTTTGTTAGCTTTAGATATTGTAATTAATTGTATATAGCTTTAAGAATTGTATTTTGCATTGTAGTTAATTATATATTGCTTCTTAAGAATTGTATTTTGCACTGTTTATTCAGTTTTTAACTGCAAGAAGTACGTTCAATAAACTTATTATTATTATTATCCCAGTGAGCCAAGAAAGAGTTTATTTATTTTTATATCCCAACGAATTCATTTTGTTGTGTTGAGGAAGAGAAGCCATCAAAGTGCAAGGTAAAATCTACACATGATGTGATTGGTTCACAGTAATTTTTTCGTTATTTAATTGGTTAATCATTTGACATGTGTTGTTCATACCAGTTCGTGTTGAAGGAGTTCAATAAACCATAGCCTCGCAGCGACAAATTTCAATTTATTCTCTACTCGGCCACATAGCCATTTTACGTAGATTTGAAGTTTATGTATCAATAAAATTGACGTTCGCCATCTACAAATTCTAGTAAAAACATTTTTGTGTAGTTTTCTTTGACTTATTTGTTCCTTGTTCAGCCTTAGTGTGTTGCTATTACATGGACCGCGGAGCATGGTGGGCTGGGGGGCTACAGCCCCCCCAATAATTTTTCCGACAATCATATAGAATTTTCTTAAATAAAGAAGTGAAGAGCCTCCTTATGAAATTTCACCATATATATTCTATAAACATTGTGTAAAAACTGAGTAAATATGTCTTGGATAACGCCTCAAAACGCTCGAAATGACATTTCCGAGAGTTAAGATTTCAAAAATTTCCAAACCCCCCTAGTACCTCCTCGCCGCTAGCCCCTCCAAACAAATTCATGCTCTGCGGTCCCTGTATTAGCGTGTTTCTTCATGCGGATTCAGATTCAGATATTTCATCCTAATAAGTCTAACTTAAAAGATATCAACAACAATTTTCGAAATGGCAAAGAAAAAGCCGAAAGCTTCCTTACCAAACAGGATAAACAGAACAACAAAGGCATGTTAAGAGAAAAACRTGCCGACCACGGTCCCATGTTCGATCGATTGTGTATACAAATTCAGAAACACTGTTATTTCAAGCTAGTAATTAGGAATTTATTTATAGTACAGTAAGAATCTCAATAAAACTATTTATAAGAAAAACATTTCAATGAACACGACGTTTCGATGTTAACATAACGTTACTTTCAAGTAAAGGGAAATGAAAATTACAAAATGCTTATATATAAGAATGCAACAATAGGAGCTAATTTACAATATTTATGAATATAAAGGAAAATATGTACAATCAAATAAATAAATATAATACAAAGAATGATAATGCATAATATAAAGATAAAGTTAAATAAAAAGTTTGGCGTTA